GGAGCCTGCCCGGAGCATCAGGTACCGTTCTGGTATGGTGTTCTAGAGGGCCCACCCACCCGCCTGAGTTCTTTACCTGTCCTTTAAAGCCTTTAGCGTTTCCGCGCACGCGCATGGCGCATACAGTGCTTATGCAATGCTCCACCGAGCAGCTGGAGCATTGCAGAAGCTTGTGGAGGTGTCGATGGCAGGTACGATGCATGCATCCATGTGGGCAACGCCGGGGCCGGAACCCGCCACTGTTGTAGAGCTGCTCAAAAAAGCTGTATGAACAAATCACATGAGTCAAACTTGACCCAAGAGTCAAACTCAACTCAGGGTCAGCTCTATCTTTAAAGTTGGGTTAGGGTTTTAATGGGGGATTTATTCTCAAAGCTGCTTTGTGAAAGAATGTGGCCCAGTTCATTTCAACAGCTCTGGAGCTTCACTTCTAATGTCTCCTCCAGCAAACGTGTCTTCCATGAAAATCTCCTTGGACAACATAGAGTCTTCTCAAAGTAAATCATGAAACCTTAAGGTATGAGTGCTTAAGGTCCTCATCCGGTTGTATTCTGCTTACTTTGCACAGGTCTTAGTAATGTTTTCTGAATAAGGAGACCAAATCCAGAATGTTAACTAACAATTATAGTAGTATTATTGCAGTAATTTAAAACATTTCCCTGTGGCTTCTTATATGTGATTTAGAAGAGATACAGAAGGAAGGATTCTACAGCAGTAGAACATGTTTAAAAAAACTGAAATCTGCAAAGCAGGTCAAGATAGACTTGAGAGCAACTTTGTGTATGTGTATGTGAGCGTATAAAACCATTCCCACCACACTGTTCTTCATGGAAGCAAAGGTTATAAACCAAAAATCTTGGTTTCATTTTGGTTGCTAGGCAACCCTTATATGGAGCAACTAATTAGATTTGCACTTTGAGTCATCCCAACTAATATAATTTAAAGCAGATAAAATGAGGGGCTGCCATTCCAACATGCAATTTAGAAAAGGGCAGTTTCCTGTGCAAAGGATCTCACCTAAAATCCTACAAATAAGAAAATACAGGGGAAGGAGAGGGATGTGGAGGCAGGGCAAACATAAGATTATCTCAGGGAGCTACATTAGCTCAGATGCAGGAAGGAAGAATTTCTTTAAAAGATAGGGCTTGTGGGGAATTGGAATGAAGTTAGAAGTTCATTGTTATGCGGCTGTTTGGAGAGAACAGTCTAAGAGATGCGGTGATAAAAAAAAAGATGATATTAAAAGCCTGTAGACATTCTCAGCAGGGGTGGGTTCTAGCAGACAGAACTGTCAGTTCAACTTGTGTGCGCAGTGCAATTAAAATTGTTCTGCGCAGAACTGAAAAACAAGATGGCACTGCCGATGGTGCCGCCCGATGAACCAATTCAGGGGCGTGGCAAGCCTGGGTCGCTGCCGATTCCAGCGACTGCCAAGCCGCCAAACCATTACTGGTTCAGCCGAACCAGTCTGAACCAGTAGGACCCACCACTGATTCTCAGTCAACCAGGTCATTGTTATCCCAAAGGTGCTTTTTCAGGAGGTAACTGGACTTCCTTGTTTTTTCTTTGAAGATGTTTCGCTTCTCATCCAAGAAGCTTCTTCAGCTCTGATAGGACACCGGGGAATGGAATGATTTATACTCCTTTTAGACAGCTGGTCATTTGCATCCTTTTAGAGGGTCCTTGAAGCACTTGGAGGTTTATCTGTGTCCTCAGGGTCACCTGGGTGGTGCTCCTGGTTCCTGTATTCTGCAATTTTCCCCCCTTTCCTTTCCTTNCTTTTCTCTGGAGTGTACTGTCTCCTCCCTGGTAAATGGTGGTGCTTTTGCCAAAAACCCCCCCCCCCGCCTCCTCCAGTTATACATTCTATTACAGCGGCAAAGATATTTCCAATTATGAATGAGCGATAAATGTTATTAATGTTTATTTATACACAAACATTAATGTTTAGCAATATGGCAATGTGGAAAGGAATACAGAATTTTATATTAAATAATAATTCTGTTATGTTTAGTTATAATGTGATGGTGAAGGAAACGGCAAAAGTTCATCATATTCAGATTCTGGCTTCCATCTTTACAATGCTTCTATTGAGGTAAAAGGTTCCCTTTCTCCTGAATCATCTATAAGCAGTGTCTGAGGAGGATTATCTAACAGATTAGTTTGTACAGCACAGTCTCAATCAGAGTCAATATCAGGCAAAAGAAAATCTTGCCTTTGAGGACTATGCTGCTTAATTCTTGGTCTTGCTGTAGGTTTAGGCATAAAAAAATAATTTCACCTTCTTGGAACTGGATTGAACAGGTAAATTGGGAAGTTACCCTGTCCTCTAAGTCAGTGATTCTCAACCTGTAGTCAGCAGATCTCTGGGGGCTCACAATATCGTCACAGGGGGTCCACAAAGGCTTGAAGAAATGTTATTATTTAAGTCTTGGGGCCCCAGTGGTTAGAGCGCAACATTGTAGGCTACTTCTGCTGACTGCCAACTGCTTGCAGTTTGGCAGTTCGAATCTCACCAGGCTCAAGGTTGACTCAGCCTTCCATCCTTCTGAGGTCGATAAAATGAGGACCCAGATTGTTGGGGGAAATAAGCTGACACTGTAAATGGCTGTAGAAAGAGGGCTGTAAAGCACTATATAAATCAGTATATAAGTCTAAATGCTATTGCTATCAGTTAGGTCCAGCTGAGGGATAAGCCATATCAATGAGGAATTGTTTTTGTGGTTCTTTAATCTGGAGTCTGTTCTAAAGATTTATTAACTGAGCATAAAATAGATCATTGGTGGGGAAATGGGAGAAAAGGATGATTGCATTCTCTCTGCATTGAAGCACTGGTTTTAGTAATGATTGTCCTCTGCTCTTGACAGAAGACTGTAGCTTTAAGCAGGTGAAAAAAGTGTAGATGGCTCAGGGGCTGGACTAGATTATTCCTAAAAATTCTAAAGGAGCATTTTTGTTGAAGAGTTTGTCCCATCCTAAAAAAAAGGTACATTAAATGGTTTATGAAAAAGATACTTTTGAACTTTAGTGATATGTATCCAACCTATAGTCTTGAAGTTTTAGGAACTTGCTCAATAATTTATTACAGCTTTCCAAAGTGTAAGATTCCTAGCAAAGATCGAGAGCAGAGCCTGGTTCTTTTGAAGCTATGACTTCAGATTGATTGATTTTTTAATAGAGCACCTGGCATTGTTAGATGTTGTAGCATGGCAACCAGTTGTTAGAATTTGAATCAATTTATCAAGCTTTTATTGAATGTCATTTGGGGAAATAAAGATGGCCACAACTGTGGAATCTGTAAATAAATAAAGGTCTCCTAGAATATTTGGGACGGTCTCTGTGTAGCCTTTCTTTTCTATTCTCTTCAGTATTGTAACTGAGGGTTAGGGTTAGAACTAGACAACTATTGTGTTTCCTCAACCTCCTTCAGAGAGGTAGTTTCCTTTCTCATGGTAGCAAGCTTATTCTTAAGTAAAAGGGTACTTATAACTCTGTAAAGATCGTGGTGGGGTAGGAAACAATTTTTTGTTATTTCTCTACCTTGTTTTGTTGTTTCCCCATCTTTTTCCCCCACTTTTGAATACTATTTCTCAGTTGCTTCTTTCATTGCTGGTTATTTTCAAGGTAATTATTTAATTCTTCCTTGCCTTGGCTTTTCCTTCCTTCCAGAGTCAGTGAATAATTGTGGATCTTCCTAATTTCTATAAGTGTTATCAATGGCTTTGTTTTGGGCTAGAATCATATTTGCTCTGTAGAGGACATTTAGGAACAGATTAATGCAAAACTACTATGCATATTTATTATGGTGCTAGATTATACCATAAATGTTCCTGTATAGATCCAACTTATTAATATTGTCTTCTGTAAATGCTACCTCTGCTTATGACTCTAGAAGCATTACTGATCTCTGAATTTATTAAATCAGTTCAATATTGGTTTACTAACAGTGATTTCAACTGAATGTTAGTTCTTATATTATCAAACCAATGCCACCAGCACAAGAAGAAAACAGTAATTTTGAAGAAATCTGATAGTTCACAGAAGTGCTAGAAGATAAGATAATCTTTAGAAGTAAAAGTCATTTAAATGGGGGCGGGGGTTGAAGTAAGAATACTGACTACAACTGTAATACGGCACTTTATTATAGGAGTGTCAAACTCGCAGCCCGCAGCCTGGATGCATCACACGCTGACCATGCCCATGCCTGGTTTAATGAAGGGGGACAAAGTCATGATACATCACATGCCGACCCCATGACGATGCGAGTTTGACACACCTGCTCTATTAGGATAAAGCCAGAAATGGAAGCGACAGAGTAGAATAGAGTATCACGATCAGCGTACCATCTTTCAGCATTTTGGTACAAATATCATTGTGTTAATATGTGGGCCCTGCATTATCTTCTAGAAGGTTTTTGTGTGTAATTCAAAAATGCTGCTTTTAATATTTGGGATAGGTCTTTCTTGTGCAGTCTCTTCCCCCAGCTCCATCCTTTATCATGTGTATTCACTGAACAACTGATAAGGCTTAGGGAAGGCAACCATTATGCTGGAGAAAATGACATTCCGCCCTTGCTATAGGATAAGCTTTGGTACTTTTGGGAGTCATTCGGAAGGCACATGCTACTACAATAAGATCTAGATTTTGAGGGTTTTCAGATATTAATTCAGCATCTATAGGAATCTGAAAGGGCAGCCAGAGACATTTGTGCCGCTTCTTCTAGATATTCACTTAAGATCAATTATTTTTCTGTTGTGACACTCATAACTTAGATCACCCTCTTGCAAAATTACATGAGCTGACTTTGATGCAACACGGAATAATGCTGAAAATATTAAAACATATGTAACACTAGATCACAAGGAGGTGTATTGCATGATAGATAAATTATGACCATTTTAAACAGTAAATAAGTATATCGGCATTGAAAGGGAGAATGTGATGGTGCCTTTTTATTGCATTATCCACATTCAAAATGTTTTTGTTGTTTTTTGGTCTAGGTGCCAGCAATATCATCAGCAAAAAATGGCCTTCTTTTTTCACCAATAACAGGAACATGTCTAATGAATTCATTTTCAAGTCCCAGGAGAAATGACCTATCAAATGGTTAGTTGAACATTTTATTCTACTTACTATGGAATTTTTCTGGTTATTGATCAAGTCAGATTCTTGATTTAATAATTTATGTCAATAGTTACATAAATAGCTATAATTTCTTTTTTATATTCTCCCCCACCCTGCTCCCCGGTGAAGTGAGGACCAAGATTTTTACAACTTTTACAAGCATGCTAAAACCAGTGGTGGATTCCTACTGGTTTGGACTGGTTCAGCTGAACCTGTAGTGGTTTGGTGGCCTGGGTTGCTGGAACCGGCAGCAACCCAGGCCTGCCATACCCCGAACTGGTGGCACTACCATCTTGTTTTTTGTTTCTGCTCATGCGCAGAGCAATGTATCAATTGAGAACTCTTGATTAAACAGAAGTTGTGGGATTTCTAAAGATAGAAACAGACAGAGATAGAGACATTTCTGAAGCAGAATGTTCTCAAATGAACACAGAGCTCTGTAAATACAGCCAGGGTGGGCTGCTGGGGGTTCGCAGAGGTTTGAGAGAACCTCTAGCTAAGATTCTGTGCAGTTCGGAGAACACTCAAATCCTACTCCTAGTTGGCTCTGCCCACCCACCCCGCCCCTCCCAGGAGTCCCCACACAGCCCGTTTTCGATGCAGGTAATTGCAGGGCGCTTGTGGAGGCTCGGGGAAGGTGAAAACGGGCCTACCGCACAATTGGGGAGGCCAGAAACGAGCCTGTTTCTGGCCTCCAGAGGGCCTCTGGAGCCTGGGGAGGACATTTTTGCCCTCCCAGAGGCTCAAGGAAAACCTCTGGAACCTGCAGGGAGCCAACTAGGCCACACCCACCATGGCCATGCCCACCCTGCAATGAAGCCTACCCCTGCCATGAATAATTAGTTGCATTCTTTTACATTTAAAGCTCAGAGGGGAGAATTCAGATGAGAAACTCCTAAGAGGGAAATATAATTGATCAGCTAGATTTCCTTGGTAGTCTTAATTTAGAAAAAGCCTTATAATATCTATTCAGCTGTGGTACTGAAAATTTTATATCTTCTGCAATAGCTATTTTTGAAAGATCTTATGTACAGTAAAATGATGGTATCTCTCACAATGTTGAAATCTCATTATTTTACCCAAGTCAATTTGCAAATATTAGGTTGTTAAAAATAATAAAAATGGGCAAAAAGTTAGAAAGTTGAAAAAAAGTCTGAGAAAAATGCAGTGGCAAAATTATATTCCCCCCAAAAATAATAATCCTAAATGGATCAGGAGTTAAGCTAATTTTGAAGAAGCCTTTGTTTTGTTGGTCAAGTAAAGAAAGAAAATATTGTTTGGAAATGTATGGCCTAAAATGGACCAATTAAAATAAGGAAAATCTTAGTACTCTTCGTACCTCATATTGCAAGTTAGAGCTACTTTGTAAAAAAAAAAAAAAGCAATTATACAATTTGAAGAAATTATCATATTCACTCAGTAATTTCTATTCTTCTCAGTTGAATATTAATAAATAGATTTATCTATATTCATAATCTATGGAGTAATCCACAACTTCAAAACTCCAAACATTGGATTTCCTGAATGAATCTTTTATTGACAGTATACAAAGTGTTTGCTTTTTCCAACGCTATGATTTTTAGTTTGTGTAGCGCATATGTATATGGCTTAGAGATTGACTGAATTTTTCATATGCCTGTTCTCTGAGTGGGGAAAAAAGGAGAAATAAATGCCTGAAGTAAAATCCCTGAACATTAAGTGTCAAAGGTAAAGGTGAGTGTGTGCTATATTTCCATGCTATAATTAAGTGTGGGCATAAGGGAACAGTCCATTTGCACATAAAATAAGGAATCACATGTTCTCAGCTGACATTTAGATGGATAATTATACAGCAAAGCCTCAATAGCTTTCCCTATTTTAGTTCTATCAAGCTGCAGAAATAATGCCGAAGAATCAGATGGTAAGCTTTTTAAAAAAAAAATTCTACTCTTAATTTCTAAATTTAATTTCTTACTAATAGTGTGAGCACAAGTAAGTTGTGTGTGTGTTATGATAAACATGTCATAATGCATAGTTGGAAATTGAAACGGGTATTTTAAAAATCCTAAATGAAATTCTCTTCGGTGTCTCTGTATCATCTCTGTCTTGACATTACTTGGCTCTAAGCCTGGTTTAAGGCAAGATTTTAAATAAAAAGCCCTTATTGTTCCTTATGCCTTTATAATGCATGTTACATTACAAGCAGACCTCATGTAACAACTGCAGTTGGGACCAACGACCCCATTGTTAAATGACATGGCTCTTAAGTGAAACTTCGCATGACTGCACCAGACTTAGTATATCCGTTCTGCCGTGGTTGTTAAATGAATCAACTGCAGTTGTTAAGCACAATGTTGCATGACCACGATTTGCAACTTACTAACAGCTTCTCCCTTGACTGCTTCTTGGAAGTTGGCTGTGAAGATCACACATGGTGATTCGGTGTTGCAGGATTGATACATAATAAATTTGAATGGTTGCTAAAAAAGAGTAGCCATTAACCAAGGACTACTGTATTTTCTGTATCTGATCCCACACAAACTCTAAAAGTCAGATTCCCCCTAATATCCCTGTAGCTCCCATCTTGTTGGCATTCCAGAAGGCCTTAAAAATAATCGCCTGTTGTCCCAGGCCTTGTGCTAGGGTGGTCAGGATTTGTTTGAGAGGACCAGTGGGTTAGTCATTAGTTCTTATTTTTTATAACTTTCTTACTTGTTTTTATAACTGTTATATTGTGTTTTCTATTCTATTTTGTTTCATTATGCATCTCTCAGTTTAGAGCTGAATGGTGCCTAAATTGAATAAATTAAAACAAAATAAATTAATATATGATCCCATAGCTAGTATTCTGTCTATATTAGCATGACATAATAAACAGGCTATTTTACTAATTTAATTAGATTTCTAAGCATTAATGTTTTTAAAAATTGATTTTAATCCTTACAAATCCCTTTAATGGCTATACATAAATGCAAAAATCCATGAGTGCCAGATTCAGTGACCAAACAGAAATGTAATTAATATACTTTAATGAAAGAATGCTTCGTTTCTGTATCAAATATGGGAAAGGACCAGGTTTCTCAGGCTATTAATAGTTATTCAGGAACCATTTTGCAAATGTTCAAGAGCATTTTTCAAGGATGTTCAGAGCATTCAGATTAGGTCCAGTATAAAAGCCACTGTTATTCATGAATCAAACATAAGGTTCTTCTGTATTTAGAACACAATTTAAATTTGGTAATGGGACATCATTTGTTGTAATCTGCAGAGAGGCTGCATGAAGAGATCCTGCAGCCTTTCTCTCCTTCGGTTCTGCACTTAAGATATATTCCTGAAGGACTAAAATAACAGAATGTTATACATTGTAAATTTTAAGTCATGACTTTTGACATTGCATACAATCAGTAGATCCAGTGCAGTGCAGTAAAACACTTCTAGTGATATTCACTTGGTACTTTAATCATCATTGACTTCTTTTGCTTTCAGATAGCCTTTAACTCTCCCTTAGCTGAAATCATTTGGTGTCACAAGACCTGAGAGCAAACTGTGCTCAGTGGGTTGCTATCTCCTACTACTTGTGCCCTATGCTCAGCACTAATTCTGTTGCCTTTTCTTTTAAGTCCACTCCATCCTGTCTCCCAGAGGGAGGCGACATAGACCACACAGTGATTATCTCTTTGCCTTATTCCTTAATGTGCTTGGTTAGAGAGGGTAGGAGAGGAAAAATAATTGCGCCAAGCAGGCTCCACGATGGAGAGATCACATGAGCCCAGTCATGTTGTCTGTATTGTCCCTTCCTGTTAATTTGAACACAATGCAGATTATGACCTTTTAGTTTTCCGAACATAACTGTTGTGATTCTTTTGAATGAAAGTTCATTAAGCTTCATTCACGTGTGAGTGAATGTTTGTTGCTTACTCTTGGCTTGATCTGCGCCTCCTGTGTTAGGATAGGGGCATATACTTCATGTTCAATTTGTCATCGAGACAGATTGTAAAGATAATCTTTGGCCAGAAGATCAACAGCAGCTATTTAGTTACTTGGATTTTTATGCCAATCCTCTCATGACATTCTCTCTGGGCAGCTTCTGTAAATAAAAAGTTAATGTTGTAATCCTAAAAAACAACCACGTGCAGAGTGCATTACAATAACCTAATAATGAGGTCATGAATGACTATTGCCAGACAATCAGCTCAAAGAACAGACTAGTGCTCTAGTCAAAACTGAACATGAGCACACTTAACCCTTTCATGTGTTTGTTTCCAAATCCCCTTAAGAAAAGGACTGGTTTTAAAGAATTTAGCCAGAGAATAAGGCAGTAAAGAGGAGAGTATCTATGGCCTGGAACCTATACATGCTCTGTGATGCTTTCTTGGTTAAAGGATGGGTTTAGGGTTTTGAGGAAAGAAAATTTCTCCTCATCTCCCTGATGCAAAATGTTCTGTTTCTCTAGAATGTTGAATTCCCTTTTCAGATCCTTTGAACTTTCTCTGGATAGAGAGGGAAAATACATCCCTAACTTAAAGCCACTATTTGGGGATTTAAATCTCTGTCCTGTAGAAAAATGTTTGCCTATCTTACCCAGCTATTGCAATGAGAGCAACTGCTAAAAAGTGTTATGGTTGCTAAACATTGACCTTCATAGGGTTTCTCCCACTTTGGGCGTGATATTGCACATATTATATGGTGTGGTGACATTGAATTAAAATCAAAGTCTGTGTACGGTTTCCTTTCAGTGATTTGAAAAGTATGAGATAACCCTTATTCTTTTTATATTCTCTGTTGAAAACTTTTTCAAACCATTTCAAATGGAATGTCTTGTTTTTTTCCTTGCTCATTCCAGTCCTTCTATCTGGGACAATGATAGAGTCTTTGTAAGTGAAATCAGGGGCTGGCTGATGCACACACACACACACACACACAAAAAAAATTTGTTAGATAGATAGATGGATGGATGGACACATACAGATACATGCATAAATACATACATATTACTTTAATAGTGAGAGGAGTTTCTGTTCATCAGCAAAATGGGAAAT